TACATCCTTTTTGTTTTTAGCCTCTGTTTCAAAGAAATTCTATTTTCAGTTTGTAATCAGATAATGTGGTCTTTACAGTCTCTAATTTTTAAATTTTTTAAAGGTTGGTATTGTGTATGTGTGCAGATCCAAGTATGTGACTGTTTCATGAGAAAATCTTTATCTTCTATTTAAGGATAAAATAAAGGATTTTATTAAATTTACTTCATTGGTTGTATTATTCATTTCTTTCATGTGCTTACTTATTTTTGTTTACTATGTCAATTTGAAGAATCATACTAAAATTTTCTTTATATTTTAATAATATACAAATATCAAGCTTATCTTGCATTTTTAGTAGCATTCGCTTCATCTGCTTATCTACAATGTTATTTGCTGCAAGTGAGTTTATGAATATTTCCCAATCTTCTTAAATTGTACTTTATATCATTATATAACATGTCTGTTTAATCTACCTAGTGCTTTTAAATTATTTTTCCTACTTAGTGCTTTTCAATTCCATCTTATTTATTATTAATATTGCCATTCATGCATTTGCATTTCCTTGTTTTATTTGTCTGATATCTCTGCTATTCCTTTATTTTTGTTAGTAGTGTATTTTGGGGTTTTGTTTTTTTAGCCTACATTAACTAAGAATTCAATCTATTTGCATTAATTTCGTAATGAATATACTTAATTTTATTATTAAGTATTAAATATTAAATTTATTTTTAATATTTTATTAAATTTTCTTATTGTTTCTTTTTTTAAATAAGAAAAGAAGAGCGCATCTTTCAGAAAACCATTTGGTGATTTCATTAAGATACTATTAATTTCCCTTTTCCTTCATGTTTTCAATTTGGGAGTTCTGTCCTTTTTATTTCATTCATATTTGCCTTTATCATCAATATGTAGCATTATTATTCTATAAGACAAACTATCACATATATTTTCCACAGGTCTAGTTTCTGCTCCTACTTCTTTCCTTACCCACTTCTCCCAACAGCATGAGTTCTCGGAGATTCCTTTGTTTCCCCACTCTCCACCCTAGAGGAGAGATGATGTTCTTTGTTTCCCCACTCTCCAAAGGAGAGCTTGAGGGCATTTTTATTTCTTCCCACCCTCCCAGATTTAGACCATTAGAATTCCTGTTGCATTCTAATTCTTCTACTTGAGTTCCTAGTCAACCTGTAGATCTCACATTCGTAGTCTGTGTGTCTATTTTGGTTCGACTCTATGATATTACAAGTTTTGTTGCTCACTATGGTTTCTTCCTCTCGGTGTTTCCTCATCTTGAGCCCTCTCTGCCAGAAGGTGGTTGCTTTGGAGTTGTTATAGTCCTAATTATGCCCCAGATTAGGTAGGTGGTGATATCCTGGGTGGAGGGAGGACTCCAGTCTGCAGTTTTCTTAAAAGCACATGAATATCTTTCATTTCTCCTACATTTTGAATGTAAAATCCAGTGCCAGTTTAATTCTTTTTTCCATTGTAACAACTTGCTGTTGTCTATAGGAGATGTCAAAATATTTTTTTTATCTCAAGAATTGTATTTGGACATGCATATGTGGTGTGTTTTCTCCTTAATTCCACCTGAAACTGCACTTTCAGTGTATATATTTGGATCTTTCTTAAAATCAGGATACATCTCTCTTTTATAATTATTATTCTCTATTTCTTTTCTTTTTCTGGAAATCCTATTTATAGGTTAGATATGCTGACTCTTTCCTTCACATTCTAATAAAATTTCTCAATCTTTATATTTTCCCATATCTTTTACTGGAGATTAAAATCTATTAATCTCAACATTGATCAGCCTTTCTTTCAGCTAATCAGTTCAATATGTTAATTTGAAAATCTTATTTTTTAATTTATAGAAAGTCTTAATGCTTTGCTTCCAATGCATGTTATTTTTCTGCTTTCTCCCTTCAGTTTTGATTGCTTTCTTCAGTCTTTCTTTCTGGCTGTTAGAACCCCTTAGGTGTCCTTTTATTTTCCTTTGTTTATTATGGCACAGATCCAACTGCTGGATACTGTAAGAGGACTGAACTCATGAGCGTGGGAAGGTACAGACAGCTCAGTAATTAGGGGCCAACAGTAGGCAAGTTATCAGTTACCTATAGAGGCACCAGAAGGGAGCCTTTCTTCTGTATTAGAGTAGATAAAACCCAGCCCCTTAAGTGGGGCGCACTCAAGGGTCCTGTGATCATTCAAGGACAGCTCTACCAGGGACTGCCACATGCTGGTCTTTGTTTTAGAGTTGTCCTGCTGTGGCCCTCACATGCCTATTCAGACTACAGCAGGAAGTACCATAATGACTACCTAGTTCACACCCTCTACCTGAGTACCAGTCCCCATGTTTCCTTAATCTGAGATTAGAGAATGTGTTTGACCCAAGCTGCAACTGAAGAGGAAGTAGGGCATAATTAAGCTATTCTCTCCTCAGAATCTTTAAGGTGTAATGATGAGCCTAATAAGGATACACATTCCCTGTCTTACTGGAGCTTATGAAAAAGCTGAGAAGATAGACCGTATCATTCACAGAAGATAGATAGATAGATAGATAGATAGATAGATAGATAGATAGATAGATAGATAGATAGATAGATAGATAGATGAGAGGGAAAAAAAGAAGCTCACATGTAATTCTGGAATTACAATTGTGATTAGTGTTATGGTAAGGACGGGTAAATAGAAATATGAAAAATGGGGCCTCCCTGATGGCGCAGCGGTTGAGCGCTGGGTTGCGAAGCTGCCCGCGACCTCTGCGGCACCGGTTCGATCCCCGGCTGCTCCCCGGCCACCGGAGGAGGGTCCCACATGGCGCGCAAACCTCTCCTGCCGCCCGCTGCTCCCCTCAGCAGTGTACTTCGGTCCTTCTGCCTGCTCTGCTCCCCACTCTGGCTCTGGTGAATTCTCTCACCCTCCCGCGCTTCTGACTGTACCCAGTGCATGTATAAACAAAACAAACAAACAAACAAATAAATAAATAAAAAACATGCCTCTAAAAAAAAAAAAAAAAAAAAAAAAGAAATATGAAAAATGTATGAAAAAAAAATGCCATGGTAGAATATCAGGGAAGTGACATCTGAGGAAGCTATAACTATAGATTCAAAAAAAGAGTATGTTTACTGTTCAATGAAGGAAGGAAAGAGAACTGCAGACAGAGAGGGCAAAATATTCTCCCCTTTGCTGTCATTTTAGCTCAGACATAGAGCAGAAAGAGCAAGGGAGAACAGAGATGAAGTGAAATTGTAGAGGAAGGTAATGTTGGCTTTCATAAGGAGTGTGATTTTCCTAAAAGCAGGTAGCCTTTGGAGTGTTTTACACTAGGGGTAAAAAGACCTGATTCATATTTTCAGAATATTGTGAGGATTCAGTGTAAAGAAAAAAAATGGAAGGGGCCGTGTGATACTGGGGAACCAGAAAAGTGACTATTGTAATATTTCAAGAGAGGTCACAGTAAACTGGTGGTCAATATACAAGTATACTTTTAAGGGCTAAAATGGAAAAGAAATATGAGAGAGTGGAAGAGGTCAGGATCACTACCAAATTATCTAGCCTATCCTGCTGTGATGTGAAGTGGAAGCATAAGAGAACCAAGTTGGAAACCACTAAGTTAGTCACTCATATCGAGGTATCTTTGAGACTCTTAAATGGGGAAGTCAATACACTATGAATCTGGGGCAGATTTGTACAAGTATAAATATCTGAGCTCTCTGGGCTTAGGTGGAAATTATGCACAAATGAGACATCTTGGGAGATTGCAAGATGGAAAAAGATTGTTAATCTTGTAAACTGCTGTTATCTGGCCAAGTTAGATTGTCTTTTCTGGGAAATGATTGGGAATGTGTGTCACAGTCTTAAAAAACTAACACAACTGATTCAATAACTATAAGAATCTGTTTTCAGAAAATAAAAGTAAATGTTACAAAGGCTTATGGATAAGATATTCACTTAAGAATTACTTATGATAGAAAAAAATACTAATTAATATAAGGCATTTAAATAAATTATTATACAATGATGTCAATGAATATTATGTTGATGCTTATAAAGTTGATGCTTATAAAGATGTAATGGCATTACTAGCTGACTATATATAGTAATAGTGGAAAAGGACATACAATTGATAGAGGTAGAAAGAAATATGGGTGAGCAGGAGGAGAGAACCTCAACTGTGTGAAAACTGTTAAAGAAATAAAGTTATCTGTCAATAGTGGAAATGGATGAATGTTACAACCTTTATGCTTTTATCTACTTTCCAATTTTATCAAAATGGGCATGTATTACATCTTTTGTACTATTTTGTTATATTAAGTACTGGCTAATAATCTTTCCTTTTCACAATATTAATCGTCATTTCTCTTTTGAATCTTGCATAATATTTTAGGTGTGTAAGTTTATTTCCATGCACTTTAAAGTTTTATGAAACATTTAGAGTTGTAAAATAGTTTCAGAATATTGATGTAGCTAATACAAAATCCATTCCCCTCAGAACTTTGCATCAGTTTGCACAGTGTATCATATTGAGAGCATTTGTATCTCCTTTACTTCTTTTTTTTTTTTTTTTTTGGTGGAAAGAGATAAGACTAATTTATTTTATAACTAGATCCAACAGGGTTTTAAAAAACAATTCAACAAAATAACATTACATTATGAGTTTCAGGTGGGCATCATTGGATATCACCAGCTGTATATATGACATTAAATTCACCACTGAAAGTCCACTTCTAAGCTTCATCATATAATTGACCCCTTTTACCTGATCTAGCTACCTTCCATTATACTTAATGCTTACTAGTACAGATGCCTCTGAATTCTTCAATGTGAGTTCTTAAGTATAAAATGCATACACAAAAGAATTTGCTAATTAATTTTAAATACAGCTAATTGTTATTGTTTTTCTCGATGACTGTTGGAGAACCCTCCATTGGACTCTCATTTGTATCATTGTCTGCAATGATATGAAATCATTTTGAATTTGGTTCAAAATTAAACACATGATTTTTTTTTATTTCCAGGAATGTATACAAAGACTATCGCTTCCTTGAGCTGGCTTGCGATTCACAGGAGGACGTGGACAGCTGGAAGGCATCGCTACTAAGAGCTGGGGTTTATCCTGATAAGTCTTTAGTAAGTTGGATATCTCTCTTATTTAAGTTATTAACCATGTTTGAGAGAACATAATTATATATACTATAGATGAAGAAACTAGATCTCTCTGGTTTAATCTGGCACTGTTTTAACTGGTACTTTGCATATATATATATATTTTTTCATTTCTCCATTCTGTTTTCTATTTTAAGAAGTTAAACAGTTTATTTAAAAAAAATCACCCTAGTCAGCCATACAGCATAATATATGTGGTCTCAGATCAAGAGGGAGTTTCTTCATTTTAAAGTTTCATTTTCTTTTATATATTATTCCATAGTTGTTATAATATTCAAACAAGCAGTTTGCAATACTCCTCACATAGGCATAATTAATATATATATATATCATTATTCATAATACTGGTCTTTCTTATTCTTAAAGGTTTTTTTTTTTATAAAAACCTACCTCCTTGCATTATGTCTATATTACCTATAACCATAATTATATCTATGCACAGACTCTGGTTAATGTCATGAGTGTGAAGGAACAAAAATTATAGCTATTCCCACTTTATTAGAAAATATCAAGTGTGTTGGAGACATTTTTCTCTTTTAAGTTGATAAATAAACCTTCAATTTATGTTGTTTGGAAATTGTAATATTACACAGAGTAGTCCAGATTAACACTTTCAAAGTCCCACCCAACATATGTAAACTAACTATTCACTAACTGTACAGATATCTGCTTATCTGCTGCTTTTCCCCAAGATGTCATATTACCCAGTTTCCCCACAGAACTAAAGTGCTGAGACTTAAGCCGTGGAGAGTTAGCCCAGGTTCACCTATATGGTACCTACTTGTATCAGTTTATAGGACAATTGGGTCCTTTCCAGGCCTCAAGTGGAGCTAGAGTCTTCTCAAGAGAAGTCAGATATATGGGTGCAAGATGGGAAAACTGAAGCATCCCTGGAGGTGGTCAGGAGATCAGACCTGACCATAGCTCTGAGGTTATATTGGAATGCAACAGAGTTCCTGGGGTAAAGGATTGAGGATTTGTGCAAAATGTTCTCCTTATTTCTGTCATTTTGAGCTCTTAATTCAATCCCAGCATACATTTGTGTTAATGTCTAAAAAAATGAATCCCCAACAAAATACCCTGTGCCTTCCAAATGAGGTGAACGCAGGCCATTTCCTGATATGATATCCAGTTACAGAGGTATCTATGTAGGCTTCCTATAATATCCTGTTTTTCTCCAGTTATGTGCATAAATATTTGTGTGTATACATAACCAGAAATCACTTAAAAATTAGAATACCATTCTACTTTTGATGTTAATTCTCATCAGTACTTATTACTCTGCCTTACTCATTAATGGTGATGTGCTTAGTTTTACAAACATTCTATATTTAAAATGCACATATACTTCCTTGTTTATTCATTCATTTCACAGAAGCCTGTTGAGTTTGCTCTTTTTTGCCTGGCACTATTCCAGGTGCCAGTGATGCTGAGGTGAACAATGAGCTTTTGGTCCCAAGGAACAGACATTAAACAAGTGAAAAAATTGCTGTATAATTGCTATGGTGGAGGGCTATGGGTGCTTTGGTGGTGGGAGTGCTATGGTGACTACACCTAAGGGGGGAAATCCTATACTATCAAAACAGTAGCAAGGATGTAAAACAATAATACTTCAATTAAAAAAATAGAATTACTGTAATTAATTGTATTGTGTTATTTAAGAGAGTGCAATGTTCTTTTAAAAAGATAGAGCAAGCTACCTACTAGGGACCCTTCTCTGCTCAGAAAGCTTTCCTACCTTTCTTATTTATCAATAAATCTCTTGCTTTGCAGCCTAAAAAAAAATTATAAAGCAAGTTAAAGGGACAGACAGACAAGGAGAGACTAGAGAGCTTCATTTTAGTGTAGTTGACCAGGTCCCTTTGAAGAATTAGCATTTGAATAGACTACTCCTGAAGGAAGGGGGAGGGTAAATAATAAGTCTGAAAAAGATTATTGGTGGCAGCAGATCACCAAGTAAAAGGCCAGGTTTTCCCTGATCCCTTATTTGGGTCTTCTACATTCCTGCTATAAGTGAGACCATCTGTATGTTTCTTTTTCTTGCTGGCTTATTTCACTGAGCATGATCCCTTCCAGCTCCATCCATGTTGCTGCAAAATGGCATGAGTTTATCTTTTTTGATTGCTGAGTAATATTCCATTGTCTATATGTACCACATACATTGTACAAAAATGAAAAATGATGTAAAAAATATATAAAACAAAATTTTAAAAAGGCCAGGTTAGTCTTAGAGGAACAACAAGAACACCAGTATATCTAGAATACAATGAGGCAGGACAGAAGAGGTTGATGGTTTCTAATTATAATGATGACGATGATGATGATAATTATTTTCATCAAAGCCTACTTTCTTTAACAAGTCTTCATGCCATTTTCTATCTTCCAAATATGCTTAGTTATATAAAATACCAATATGTATGTGTGTGTATCTTTATAGATTATCTTTCTCATATGCAACTATAATATTGTAATGGCTGTGTTTTCTTAAGTCATGATTTTATAACTTAAACTAATTTTAATGCACTAGACAAGCTGAAGAAATTATATAATGCACCTCTTGTAAGGTAAAAACTGTCTTGGAGAAAGTACAATTACCCATCCCCCTGTGAATTGTCTTTGGAAATCTGAGTTTTCATGTTTCTTAAACTCTACAAAGAAGACGCTCAATGAAATACTTTTTTTATCAGAATGCTCAGCTTTAAGTAAATGTAGGTGTTCTATACAATCTGTCTTGATTCTCTTCACATCATTTAAATTTGTTCATAAACACATGTTCTGTATAGCTGCGTGGAAGAAGAGACGAAAAGTTTTTTTTTTTAAAACTACATACCAAAGAGATGACAGGAAATTAAACTTGGCTGTATGCCATGAGCGTTGCTTTTCTCAGTTTTCATCATAAACAATATTTGCATTTCTTTTGCACTGTGTAGTTCCTTAGGTTATATTACACGATTGCTTGACTTTCAGATGTTTAAATGGCAGCTAACTACTGAAAACAATTCAAGTAGAATGCTTATCTAAACATTCCACTCTGTGAACACTCTGAGATTAGGAGGCAGAATGCTTTTAGGTACAGTTATTCATAATTTAAAAGATTTTTAAAGAATAAGTCAGATTACAGTAACAACAGATGTGTCTCTCTCAGTAAATTTTTAGACTTCTAATGCATTATTTTGCTTTTTACATCAATAAACCATTGAGTCAACAGCAAATCAATCACAACCCTAATAATGAAACATTTGTTAGTCATGTTCAACATGAGTGTAGACTCAAAACAATCTAGTTTCTGAGCAAGACTCCTCTATTTTGACTGTAAAACAATCCCACATAGATCATTTTAAAAATTGTATAAATTTGACTCCAATTAGGTAAATCGTATTCACTCAAATATGAGTAAAATAGTGTTTTAGATAAATATTTTTTCAACTAAGGTTTTTTATGCATACTTTTTTATGGTGTGCTTTTCCCTACCCAATTTTTCCTATCACCTCCATATGATGGAATGTTTTTATGTCACTCACATCATAATGTTCTGCTGCCCTGTTTCTTCTTTCTCTTAGGTTATTTCTCTTGGAGTTTTCTACAATTTTGTCTTTCTTTCCTTCCCTTCCATCCTCTTCTCTTACTTCCTTCCTTACCTTCATCCATCACTGTTATGGTGGACTCTAGCGATTCAAAGATTTTTAAAAATTAAGTCTTATTTCATAGGAGCTCCAAGTAAAGTGGAAGAGAGGCATGCAAATAAATAATTACTTTATAATGTGATAAATCTGCAGTGGATATCTGTATAAAACATACCAGTCTGACTCTATTTCCATGTGATTTTCTAACTACCTTCAGTCTCTTAATCTCTCTGGATCTAAATTGAAATGTAGGCCTCTTTTCTGAGTATAGTGTGTGGACTAAAATGGAAGAGTCCTAAATTCAGTTTCCTGCTGTACCATTAACTCTGTGAACTTACACATAATCTCTCTGAGCCACAAATTTAGCATTTTACCAATCATCTGCTCTTTCCGAATGGCCACAGTATTTTAAAGCTATACTTAATTCTGATTTTGGATTTAGCAAATTTTTCTTCTTTTATTTCTATTTCCTTTGGCCATTAAATTGAAGCTCTAACCTATGATAATGTTTACCGTTGCTAAATAAGTATAAAGGATTTTACAGTATTAAAGTGAAGATGTTTCCAATTGAATTGATTTTTTTTACTGATGAGACAGAAATAAGAAGCATGTATCTGAGTGTGTTGTGTGTTTATCAGTATAGATTATAATTTAAGAACTTATAAAAGATTATTTTACCAACACATACACATATAAATGTTTTCTTATAAGTCCAAATACAAATAAATATGGATTTGATTTAATGTCTACAAAATGTGATATAACAAATAACTTATTTTTCTGGCATAGTAGTCTCACATAATGCCTTATGCAAGCACTAAAGAATTCAAACTCTTTGGAACATTTGCATGCAGTGAAATGAGGTAGATTTTAAGTCACATTCACTCACATTTGAATCCCGACCCTGCCATTTATTGGCTCTGCTTCTCAGGCAACTTAGCTAATGCTCCCATTGTTTATTCTTCTTGAAAATCAAAGAAACAATGATTAGTGATTTTAGAGGATTAGATGAAGACAGCTTGGTGCTGTGACTACAGCTGAATATTCAGTGTCATGGGTGCATTGTTATTATTATTGAAAATCATCAAGGTGTTCATGAAGCTGTAATTCCCAGTTGAGTAGTTCCCTTTTCTTTGGTAGCTATCAGTGGGATTTAGACATGTGGGGGAGAATTTCCCAGCATTGACTGAGGGAGTTGAATTGCTTAGGGGAGTCCTGGGTAATGCTGCCCTGTGGAGAGACTGGCCTGGGGACCTTAGGTCAAGCAGGAGTGATTGGAGAAACCATGCCAGAAGGGAGGCAGTGAGAATTCACAACCCTGCCGTGATAGGCAGACCTGCT